TTAAAACTCGAACTTGTCAATCCTTTTTCTTGTGATTTGCCATTCCGATTTCCCTTAACTTTTTTTTAAGTGCTTTGTCTAACGAGAGTCAACTGATCTAAACGTTCCAGCAAAGTAGTATTAATCCCCGTTATCATATAGCAAGGTAGTCTTAAGCTAAATCCCGGCATTCTGTTTGGTTTTTTTATGACCTCAAAAGTCGGCAAGTTAGAAATAAAGAAGTCTGACCGAGAGCCATGTGATAAAATACTTACTAAAATCGCCTTCTCGACTTGCATTGAGGAATATTGGCCCTCGGTCGATTTTGTACAGACCTGGCTGCACTTTATGCGTCCTGCCACGACCTCAGGCCAACATTCCTCAGTACGGCCCTCGTGCTCGGTTAGTATAAAGTTAAGATCAAATTGTATGGACTGTCTGACTTTCTGTTGTTTCAAATTCATGACCATGTATAATTATAATTTTAAAAAAAAACGCAAAAGCAAAATTGGCCGATAAAATTAATGGTAGGAAACAATTTCCAACTTTTTTGGCCATAATCATAAGTATATACCGCACAGAAGAATAATGCTCTTTGCACGCGCTGATTGGCTAGTTTGAAAGTAATTAGCAAGTACTTTTAACCCCCGAGCAGGCGATGAGACAAATTCGCGTGTCGAGAGTTTAATTTCCGACCATTTTTTGTAAATTGATAGAAATAAATCAATTCTTGGTTTCTATGTGGTATATACTAAAACAATTTTGTATCTCAGTGTCGGTGAAGGTGACGGATTTTCGGCAAGCCTTTCCAAATCCTATTGATCTCTGTGAGGTATATAGTACCAATGTTCATTCCTCATTTTCAAACAATTCTGTATTCCCAAAGAAAGTAAAGTACATCCTATGATTACTAAAAAGAGACACAGCTACATTACACGAATGTTAACCGTTTTGCACAGTCAATTAAAATGAACATCTTGAACGTTTCTTTGCCTTCCCCTCTTCAGGAAAATCAGGTTGTTATAAAGGCCTGCATACAATGACCAAAAAGTATTACTGTTTAATATAATTTCTGTTCAGTATCAAGATGAACACCCGGTGAAGATATTCTCTTGAAGTAGTTGTCATAGCAAAAGTCAACCTCCCTGTTAATCATAACTGATAAGTAAATCAATTCTAAATTTGCAGTTTTTAAACTTCCTTATAACGCTGGTGAATTTCATCACGCCAATAAACTATGCTAATCAAATATGCAAATTATTTTGAAGCCAAACCGAGGGGAATTTTAATCAAAGTAAAGATTTGAAAGGAAACATGCCTTTTAGGTAAAAAAAATTATTTCCTCCCTTGACAAGGCAAGAATAGCTTATTATTGCAGGTGGACTACATACTTTCTTACATTTTTAAACATTATTTGGAGCAGTAGGCAATTACATGGTGTACATGCATAAAACGATAACAATGACAATCGGCAACTACTGCTAACAAACTTTAAGAGCAGCAAGCAGCACATTAGCTGATCAGCAATTTTCCATTGATGCCTCACAAGTCAATTGAACTTCTTGAAAACATATTGATTTTAATGCCCTATAATTATACCACTACCAATGAAGAACTCACTTGATATTTGAAAAAACATACGAAGGATATTGTGCGCAGTATGACTGAAAAAAAATACCAAAAAGCTTAAGAGCCATGAAGTAAAATTGTAAGCTAAGGTTTAGTATCCATCAAGGCACCAAAAGGATGGGATCCATTACATTGAATTACAGGGTATTTGTTATGACTCATAGTTAAGAATACAACTCAGAATAAAGTCACTTACCATACACACGAACAGCAATATTTTCACTATTTCCTGTTCCATATGTGTTGTTGGCCACACATTTGTATATGAACACTCCCCTAGTTGACATGTTCCTGCTCCACATTCCTGAAGTGTTTGTGTCCAAGATAGCAGTGTCATTCTCAAATAGCTGGTATGATGTCACCAATGGATTCGCTTCAGCTGAGCAGTTTAAGCTAATGACATCATTCTGACATGCTGTGTGGCTAGCAGCAGATATTGTGAACTGCTTAATCTCTGGTTTGACTGGGAGAACAATATAACAAGCTCGTTATGTCACTCATGAGCAAATAATTCATTCACCCATTTTCTGTTAATTAACAGCAACAGCACAAAAATAATAATTCATAAATTATTTTAAAAGAATTTCTCTAAAAAGGACTTGAGTTTCAATAATTTTAGGAGGATAACGAGAATTAATTCTTACAAAGTTTAAACTCTTTTATTTATTTCGATTTCTATACAGCATATTCTATCTTGCAATGTGGTTACTTCTGATGTAGCTCAATCACCAAGTTAAGTGTTCATGTTTTCAAATTTCAAAGACTTTATTAGGCAATACTATCAACTTATGAGCATGATGCTCCATTGTTTATACAGCTGACACTTTTTGGCCCTTTTTCTTTATCAAATAATCAAATATATTGCAATTAGTTTCAGTTCTAAAAAACTCATATCTGTTATGCCTCTTAAAGGGTTTCAAATAAATAAATGTAATTATAATCTTTATAATAATGTAGTTCAGTTTCTAGCTCAAATAGTTTCAATACCCTTCCCTTAAAACTTTTGTGGAGGGTAAATCCATATTCCTCTGGGGTACAACATCCAGTGAATTAGACATACACCTGTTCATGTAAAAACCAATTGCTTTTCAGACTTGAAGAATAATTTGGGTGACTTTCAAACTCCATGCTTGGTTTTGGTAGAATAATAATAATAATAATCAACTTTATTTTTCGAGGGTGGCACTTGACAGTATAAAATACTGATAAATTCATGGCCATCAAAAGAAAATTAAAAATAAACACAAATGTATATAAATAATGAGGTAATTAAGACTAGGTGATTAAACAATTAAAATATGAATTATCTGAGGATTAATATAAAATATATGAAAATAAAATAGAATAGCATAAGCTATAGGAAAGTGATGAACATCTTTATAGGACTCCAAAAAATACTTATATAAAGACTTCTTTATAATTTCTAAACTAGAGCTACTCTTAATTTCATTGGGAAGTGAATTCCAAAACCTAGTGGTTGATACTTGAAAAGTCCTAGCACCTTCTGACTCTCTTTTATACTTTGGACAAATTAAATTTAAAGACCCATATCTATTTTGTCTTTCAGTAGAACGTATGTTGTGTTTCATTTGAGTAATTCTAACATATAATTGGGATGCACCCCGTTCAAACGTTTATAAACTAATGCGCACTGATTTATCTTAGCTTCATGTAAAGGGAGGCTATTAATTTCTCTAAACAGATCTACACTAATTGCTCTAGTATCAGCATTAAGAATAACGCGTGTGGCATGCTCCAGAAGCCTGAAGACCTTATTTAAATTATCAACAGATGTAGAAACCCACACACTAGAGCCATACATCATGATTTGTTTTATCATGGCATTGTAATAAAGAATTTGTTGATCTAAAGGTAAATGACGCTTGATTTTTTTCAAAGCAACTATACACTGTGTTAGCTTCTTACATAGATTATCGATATGCTCATTAAAATTAAGCTGAGCGTCAATTAAATTACACCAAACAGTTCATGAGACTGGACTTGTTCAAATTCAATGGAGTTGACATGGACATGTTGTAGTTGGGAAAGAGCTTTTAGGTTGGTTTTCCTATGTATAATAAGATATGATCGGAGAAGTCTTTTTCTGACCATATTTTAAAAATATTATCACATTAGTTTTACATGTCATGATATAAAAAATCACATTTAATTTGTGTTACTCAAATTGTTTGGTTCCCCCCCCCCCCCCAAAAAAAAAAAGGAACACTTTTTAGTCTATGGTTTGTTATTGGGGTTGTAAGCAACACAAATTGGATAGAATTAGTTTTAACTTCAGGCACTTCCACCATCCCAGACATTACATGTATGCTCAGAATGAGTTTTAAAGTAATAGGCCTGAGAAAAGATTAAATGGGAATTATACACAAGTTTTCCGTTCATCAACTTAATAGTGCCCACTGGCACCTTCCCTGAAATGTACTTGACTAATCCTTGTCAAAGAAATGGTCCAAAAGAACAGCATCATAGATAAAAATAAAAATTAAACTACATTATCCTGTGAAATGAAATTGCCTCAAAGTTTCTGCTTGAGTATACCATGTCATGAGTGAAGGGGATAAGTTTCTGAAGAAACTGTGGTGCTGCATGGGTGGGAGAGTAATTTAGTATTATCAACTGAGTTGAAACGAAAAATTGGCCACAATAAACAGTTAAATAGTTGAAATTTTGGGTGTTAGCACTTCTTCAGAGCTATTGACAAAGGGCTAACACTCGCAATGTCACACATTTATTTTTCAATTGTGTTCTGTGGATGTCTAACTGTGCGATGAGAAAGTATTTTAAGACTCATTTTTGAAAAAAGAAAACTTTAAGGTTGTTTAAATGTTGGGAATGTTTAAAAAAAAACTTAGCAGGACTTTCCTCCGTTTTGTTAATCCAATCAATAACTCCATGAATTGGGGATTTTTTTAGGTGATACAAGTACTTTAAGTCATTTATCATTTCCAAGCTTGATACAGCAAGTGAAAAAAATTGTTACTTACCTATTTTTTTTAAACAAAAAAGACACCTTTTAGGGACCCTAAATAGACTGGGGAGCTGATTTCTTTTCTGTATACTTTAACTTGCTGACAATGTAGCATAGCTATGCTGTTAGTAAGTTAAGTTAAAATTAACTTGCGTAAAAATACCATTGACCTAATGGTCACAATATGTAAAAATTAACGGTTTAGTCCAGAAAATCAAAATATAGGAGAAAATCTAATAACAGAGATGATGGTTGTCCAGCCCTTTTGCAATTTTTTCATTCTGCTACATTGTCTTTATCTATTATACTGTAAAGTAAGAACATTTATTGGTTAACCTTTATCATAGTTACAGCTAGTCACCAAAACAAATTAAAATTTACCAAGCTTGCAAAACACAATACTTACATAACACGTTGATAGATTCAGTCTGAGAGTCCTTTCCACATCTATTACTTGCTTCACATGTGTAACTTCCAGCATCATTTCTACTAATGCTTGTGAAATTTAATATTCTCCCAACGCGGTGCTCACCACTGCTGACTTTGATCCAAGAAACAATTAGTACAGGATCCCCTGATACCTCACAACTCAGGTTATATGGATGACCTTCAATTGCAGTATTTGAAGATTTAACAACATCATCCACTGATGAAGAATCTGCAATTAAATTGATAAATAATTTTAATATGCACATTTTGTAAATCAACATGTAAATTAAAGTATCCGCTAAAACATTAATTTTAGCCTTGATGCAGCTTGCAGTTAGAAACATTTTTAAAATGCAAGTTCAATCATTCAATTTTGAAATATTACCACCAGTAACATTTTAAAATTGTCCAAAATACCAATGAGTGCAAAGCGGTGAGTGGTATTTTGGACAATTTTGAAATATTATGAGCCAGTATATTTTATTGTAAAACACCACATAAAGGTCATGCTATTATTTGTTTATTATAGAAGCCAAAAAATGTTTGGTAATGCCCATGAGACTTTCATTTCATTACAGTTGAAAAGACAAACACAGGCATCTGTTTATGTCAATGAAAAAAAATGACCGACAGTTTTTTGCAAAACCAGTGCAAACCACTGAAGGCAAACAACACAAACTAGTTCAATGAAAGAAATTTTCAAATTACAGTTTTCACAGTCACTGCAGTGGTGAAGCAAAAGCAAAAATTAACATAAGGTAAAGGCAAGCTTTTCTCAGTGTTTAATTACTGCTTCACTGAAAAACACCAATGCCAGCACCACGATTTCTTGTCACCTGACAGCCATGAAAGTGGTGGACTACTGTTTGGCAGGCTGAAGTCACAGTTTGGTTGTGTTGCATAAGCAAACTACACTTGCTTTTGCAAATTTCAGCAAAGAATTGAGAGTGACATTGGCCCAGTTCTTTAGCTTCATACATGACAATGTTATCGTTAAGATGCTTGCTTTCTGTTCACAACTTCCAAATACTCATGCCATGCAGTGTTTGTGGCTTTGACTGTATTTTGTTACTGCTTATTTGGCAAGCTTTTGTATTTTCTCACCAGAACTTTCCAGAACTCTTACCGCCAATTTTTTTTTAAAACAAAAGGAAATTTGCATAATTGTGTTCAGTGTTGTCCCAGTAACTTGGTTACATCATCCATTTTTGCTGTTATGCCACTATTAAATTGAAATAGTGATACTGTCAACCAATCAAATCTCTGATATTTCTCAGCTTATACTATTAGGGGTGTAGTACTAACAATACTCAGTAAACAGTTTGAATGGTGTTAAAATTTGATCCTGTGGTCTGATTGTCCATGTGGGTGCAGTCTTTAGAAGGACTGTTGTTGGTTGTAGTTACTGAAGTTTGTTTGTGGACTACCTGACCTTGATATTGACTAGGACTCTGTACAATACCTATAACTTATACAGCACCAACTATTTTCAATGACTATAAATCTGGAAAGCTGGGTCATTAAATTAGAAAAAACTCCCTCCAAAGGTGTCAAAAACTACCAGTACCATACAAACAACTTATATTCATTAAATTTACACCACAAACAGAAGTTGAAAACCAATGCTTTGTTTTAGAATTTATAATTGTTCGTACATGTGGCTGTTCTACAAGTTATTTCTTCTCTTAACGGTCCCCTATATGAAAGATCCATATACAATAAACTCAATCAATAAACATTGTAACCTTCTGTTAACAGTGAGAAAAATATATAAGGATGATGTAAGAAGGGACTGCAAGGAATACTGAGAATTCACATCATTTATGTATGAGAAGAATAGCTGTTCACAATGCATTTAGTTAACCTATGTAGACATCACAACACATCAATTAATGTGTATACTCCATCCAATCTGAGGAAGCTAGCATAGAAAAATGCCAGACATTTGGTCTGTTGCCAATCCTAAATCCTTCAGGTTGCACTATAGAAGGGCTGAGTCATGTTTGGAAAATTGTGCATCACTTAAGACTCCCTTTTCCTAGACACCATACATAAATTAAAATCATAATGTGCATTAAGTGCAAATACTGGGATAATAGATTTACATAATCACAAAGATGGTGTTATAACTTACTTCCCACAATCACCTCTGTTGTCTGATTAGCAGGATCCCCAATTCCATTGGATGCTGTACAGCGGTATGTTCCATGGGAACTTCTGCTAGTATTACTGATGACATAAAACCCATCTATAGATGGTACCTCTCCACTGTCAGTACCATCATCCCACACTCTTGTCCAAGTAATATTTGGTATTGGTTTACCAGTTGCTTTGCAACTCAAAGTTACCATAGAACCCACGCAAAAATATTGGTCACCGGTCACATTAACAATTTCAGGGGTTTCTGAAGAATAATCAGGTGATTAGTATTGAAAAATGAGGAGGAATTTTTTAACAATTAAAAATTTAACCCCATTCCCTCTATACTTTCAAACTTAGCTAACACAGTTTATCAAACCTGACACAGTACTTCCATATCATAATTAAGAGTGATTTGTTAATCTAATGCAGGAGAGCAATCTTCAGTTATCCAAAGTAGAAAAGTCATTCACATACCTATAAAATGAGATAATCTTATTGCTTTTATAAATAGCAATACTGTGAGTCAAAATTGCCCTAATACCCCATCATGTGCACCATCATTGATAAATATTACATTCATAGTCATCATCTATTAAACACTATAAAACTGTTTGAAATTAATACTATTTTCAACCTTTTTGGATCAAGAGTAGTTGCCTTTTAATTTCAATTGAAGAAAACTATTCCAAGCAAAAAAGACAGGAACTACTTAAACATGGAGATGGAGAAGCTGGTTTTGGTTATCCACAGAATCCTGAGAAGTCAATGTGGAGTAATATATGTGTGAATTTAAATAGTTTCATGTAACACAGGCTAAAACCTTTTTGAACACCAAAAATGAATCTAGAATGAACAGAAGAGTACAAAATTAACCAATCAGATACCTTGTTAGTCCAGAAGCCAGGACTGGAAAATTGAGGTTTCACACAACCCACAAGTTAGAAAAGGTTTGATAATAGATTTTGGCAGAGAACGATCTGCTGATTAATGCTAAGTAGTTCATAAAGTCAAATTGTGGTATAAGTTCTGTGTTAAGATGGTGTTTTCATGGACAAACCATTATTCAACATAACAACAAAGCTGACTTATAATGGGGTTCCTGGCCCTTTTGACTATGTTTTTTAAGACTATAAACTTCTTACTCAAAGTCAGTTTCCTAACAGGAAGTTTGTTTACTCTATAGGAACATGAATAATGTAATGTGACTGATCATGTGACTCTGAATATGCAAAAAAAATTAAAGAAGTACTAATTACCACAGTTTTACTTTTATTTGCCTATCCTCTCAAGGGAAGAACAAACATTTTTGTGCCAAACAGATAAAGTTAAACTAAATCCTTAAGTAAAAAACAAGAATCCCTTTCTTTCAATTTGTTTTACCACAAAATAGTTGCTAAATACATCAATGTTTATGTTATATACTTTTTAGCATGTTATTTAGTTTGGGTGGAGTCACATGATATTTCACTGACTGTTTCACACAACTTAATAACAAGGGAAAGCTAGAAAAACCTCTCACAGATAGGACCTTACCTGAAACTGTTATATTAAATTCCTGATAAGCCAGTAATGTCCCATCAAATTCTACACCATACTCAATCTTGTATGTTCCTTCATTTTCTCTCCTTACATTTTTAATGAGTAAGGTGGCTTGGCGATTTCTATCAACCTGAATATGTGGGGCCATGGATTCTTTATAAGCTAAGCCAAAAGATTTGACAAATGTTTTTGCCCCAACTAAGTCATACTCTAAACTTGATTGATTTAACTTGCTCCACGTAACAAAATTAAAAAGATCACTCTTGGTCTGTTCATTAGCATTTAGAGTGAACTCCCATATAAGTGACTTGTCCTCTCCTATTGTTACCAATGTTGGATTTTCAGGTTGCACTGTCCAGTTAAATGATTCTGCAATTCAGTAACAGATTCAGCAATTCAGTACAAGGTGTTTGTCCAGAAATCTCGAGCACCTCCAAAATTTCATAAGTATGATTAACTGAATTGATTCACTTGAACAACTATTTTTTGATGCTCTTAAAGCTACATCACTGATACATGACTTGTAGCATTAGCATTGTCGGCAATAATAACAATAATAATAATAATAATAATAATAATAACAGTCTCTATTAATACATAAGATGAAAGCTACATAATTATCTTATGTTACAAAACGTCCAATTTAGAACAGTGTACTTTCTAAAGATATAGAGAAAGAGAATACATGAATAAATTACATGTTAGTTCGTTTCCTTACAGAGGACAGAATCACCCGTAAGGAAAGATGTTGGGCAAACACCTGAGGTCGCTTGACAGTTTTGGTTTCCCCAAAGGATTCCCGTTATTTGCTGCTTTGTAACCCTATCAATCATTTTGTAAATGAAATAGATCTGCGGATGATATATTTGCAGTCTGATCACGCGAGAGGAGCAATTTGAGCATTTGCCTTACTGTGGAATGTTGTTTAAACATAATCGAGGGCCATTTCATTTGCACTTGTGTTTCATTTCAAATACCATTCTCTCAACAATCCGCTTAGACAGTGGTTAAGAAACTTGATAAACTGTGACTTACCTGAGAGGTGAATCACACAAATAAATCCAAGAAATCGTAAAACGACAAGAAACTTCATCAAAACCGACTCACGTTCAGCACTTGAACATAAACTTCATCAACTTTAGTGTATGTATTCAACGCATTACCTTTAGAGGCTCTTTTCCTCGACCGTGACAAATTAAAGATCACGTGACGATGGTTTCCGCAAACTTCCCTTGCGTTTAGTGAAAATTAACGTAATATAGTACATTGGACAAAACTGCTCTGGATCGACGTTTTACAACAAAAAAAGGAAAGCGACACGAGTAATTTTGTCACTGTCTTAAACTTTATAAATTCCACACATAGAAAATTATTTTTGTGAAGATTTGCATTACAGCGTATCCAAATTCGGATACTATCTAGCCTCGTTTTCACGTCGAAAAGACGACTCTTTGAAAACAATTTGAACTGTATTTTAAGAAAGCAATTCTTGTTTTCTACCTAAGGAGCAAGTGCAACTTTATCTTGCTCGACAAAAACATGTGTTCATTCTTCCCTTGGGAGGGTAGGCAATTGTTTGTAAATGAAAGTAAACTGTCATAATTAATACTTACCAAGTGACGTTCTGTCGTATTCAAAGTCACGTGACATGTCTCAAGGCCCAGAGAGCAAGCAAACTTCTCGTTATGAATCTGACTAGAAAGGATTTTTGTCTTAAAAAACGGTCAATATACACGTTTTGATCTTTAAGTATCCGCATTTTTTTTCAAGCACTCTGTTACTACATGTAAATCTATCTCTCTCTCGATCGAGAGTTGCCGCCGGTTAATTGCGTGACTTGTAAAATTCATTAAAGAATGAGCCAGCAAATCCTGCAAATTGTTCATATTCCTAGGGGAATAAATTAATTAGCCCCAGGCCTACATGCTGAGCCTGGCTTGATGTTGACAGACATTTAGTTGGCGTTTTATCTCGCGTTTCGTTCCTTTGTTCGTTGTAGTTATTTCCTGGGACGCGTCTCTCCTTTTTTTTTCTCAACCGGTTTGTTATGGCTTCTGCCGCTGGAAAACACACGAGGAAGCCTCCATCCTTGCCAAGCGGCCAATATATACCGCCCCTGACAATCAGGATATGGATTTTCTCAAGCTCCAGAGAGAAAAACAACGCCGGGAAATTCAATTGCTAGAACTAAATGCTAAAGCCAAAGGCCCGTCCTTTTTCATCTCCCGCCAATTCCAAACTCGCATCAATTCCTTCGCTGGCCATCGTTCGTTTCGGAAACAATGCAGGTATCATGCGTGTATTATGTAGTTAGACATGAAACTGTCTATTCTTAATTCCAGTGTAGTTTCCGGGGATTCTTATTGCATAGACAACGCAAACTTCTGTAATTTTATTCTTTCACAGAGAGTTTTTTTTGTCTTTCACAAACTTTTCTTCTGCACTGAGACATTTGTAGGCACGGCCGACGGACAACAAAATCGCCATCATTTTCCAATTCTTTGCAGTTTCACCCAAGCATTAGTCGATTTAACAAATATACCAGGTTTTCTCTTTCACATTGAGTGGGATATTTCATCTGCTCGGGAAAAAGTAGTTAAAAAAATTGTTTCTTTAAAGCACTTCTGCTTTTGCGCACCATGCTTAACTGTTGGTGCGGTTCCCCTGTTGAAGCTATCGAGAAACAGAGAATCGGCAAATGTCAAGGTCCTTTACTTTGTCGGAAGTGATTAAAAGTGTGGGACTAAATTTTCTGCCTGCTGTGCTTACTGGTGACAAAAAAAAAAGAAAAAACAATTCTTCCTCGCTAGTCGTCAGGTACTTTCTTCAAAAAAAAATCACGTAATGATTCTGATTCAATTCTCCAGCGTGTGTTCTTGAGATTTTCGACTTGTTGCTTCCGTGTATACTCTAGGGGACTCACCACAACAACTTAGTGGGGCGACGCAATTTTATCGCTTTCCGAATCATGTCTCTTGTCAAATCCTGTCTGAGAAACGACTAAAACGTCTTCATCTAAGCAAGTGATTCTTCAGATGCACTCCATCTGCTTTTCCTTAAAGGATATGACGTCAGTAAAAATTTGAAGAGATGAAGTTAAAGCAGCTGAAAATTTGCTGTTCACTCCGGCAGTCGTCAAAAACGGCTTCGTGTTCTGAAATTGCACCGGAGATCAGATACGCAATCATATACCGACACTCGAGATAATTTGGAAAGTTCATGTGAATAAAGCATATGCTCAAGTGAACCCGCTCTATAGCTGTCAGTCTTCAATAGGTGTCCTAATAGTTGGTAAACGAAAATTGGCACTTCTACAAAATGGTATAGCTTTTTCAGTATATTTATATTTATTATATCGATTATATTTGTGCCGACTTTGCTTATTTTTTTCCTCTTATTTTCGCTTGAGCATGCGAAAGATCTTAACTGAGTCACGTAGATGAGCAATCAATCATGCCTATTAATTTATTTAACTTATTTGATTCATTTTGAATTGATCCTTGATCCTTGATCCTTGATCCGGTTTTTCCAGGAAACCGACTGGGACGCCGATTTCAGCGAGATAGAACGATACAACATCACCAAGTCACAGCGACAAAACAGCGCTCAACACCCCGCGAACAACACATACGCTTACGCCGCACCCGGCCTCAACAACCGGCCCCGAAATTATCGCCGCGAATAGAACCGCACCGGATCTTGCAACAATCCCACTTGCCAGCCGGGAGTAGAACACATTTGCGCCTATTGTAAACTTGCCGATCACACGATTGCTTCTTGCTCAACCCGCCCACCATCCTCTTCGATCCGTTTACCACCGTCGCCACCGCCCAATTCAGACTGACTAGTCATCTCACCCATCTCCCAAAGCCCACCAATTAACTCTCCCGTCTCCACTGTCGCACAGCACTCCTCCTCCGCTTCGACGTCCGTCCCTGCCGCGTCACCCGGTCAGCTCTCCCTCTCCAGCAACCGTTCATACCCTGCCACTGTTCGCCATATTCTTTGCTCGAAATCGTCCCGCGCCAACGTCTTTGGTGCTCGAATATCGGTTCCTTCTAATTTGAACATTCCGTTGTTGAAAACTTCCCTTGCCTCGTATTCTGATTCTGTAGTCGCTGATTTTCTCGCCTTCGGTTGGCCAATCAATTACAGCTCCACCTTCGCACCTACAGCTTCGAAGTTCAACTACTCTTTCGCAATCAACTTCCGCAACGCCATCAACTCTCTCCTGCGGACAGAACTCTCATACGGTGCGACCGCTGGTCCATTCCCCACGACCCTTTTCCAACTCCTTTGCAGACCTCACCGCTTCAAACAGTCCCGAAAGATGAGTGTAAACGACGTTTTTTTTTGGACCTTAGCTTTCTCGCAGGCACCTCCGTTAAAGACGGGATTTCCAAAGACTCCATCCTCGACGAGCCTTTTCATCTCTCTCCCGCGTTCCGCCGACTTCATCGATGTCATCATTGCCAAAGGCCCGGGATGTTACCTGCACAAGAAGAACTTAAAGCGGTCCTACCGTGAAATTCCTGTTGATCCGAAAGATTACCGTTTCCTTGGTTACCGCTGGCGTAATTTGTTTTATTTTGACACTGTCTTCTCATTCGGTCTCCGGTCCGCCAATCTCACCTGCCAGCGCACCACAAACGCCATTTCGCGCATTTTTCGCTCCGCCTATCACTACGAGGGCGTAAACTACATCGACGACTTCGGCGGCACTGTGGCGTCCCATTAAGAAGCATCACTGGCCTTTCAGGATCTTGAAGCCCTCTTCACGAGCCTGGGTCTGGAATCATCCCCGGCCATGGATTGCCCTCCTTCCACAAGAATGGTTTTCCTCGGTCTTATTTACGACACCGTAACCATGACTCTCGAGGTCCCGCCCGACAAATAACATCAAACATCCGAACTTATTCGTCATTAGCTTCATTCTCCACGAGCCACGAAATCCGCCTTACAATCCCTTATCGGAGAACTTTTTCACATCTGTGCTTTCATTAGCCCGGGAAGAATCTTTATGCAGCGCCTCCTACACCAACTTCGTCACCTTCCGTCAAACCTCGTCACTTTTCGCCCAGCCCAGAACTTCTCGCCGAACTGCGCTGGTGGCAACATTTCGTCTCGGCATACAACGGCGTCTGCTTCTTACGTTCATCCCCTTGGATTGACGAAATCTCTCGTTTTTGCACCGACGCAAGCCTTGCTAGTATCGGCGCCTTTTTCGATGGTCGTTTTTTCCACTCAATCTTCCCGCCGTTCATTGATGTAGCCTCTCTCTCGAACGCTTTGCTCGAAATGCTGGCTGTAACTGTCAGCTTCAAATTATGGTCGCAAGAACTGCAAGGACGGTGAGTTTAGTAAGAACTGGCAATTAATCGGACCACCGAACTCGCCATTAACACTGGCCGTTCTCGCCTTCCATTCATTCAGTCCTGCTTACGTGAACTGCGGTTCTACGCTTCCCTTTATGACTTCGATCTACGCGCCTTCCACATCCCTGGTCACCAGAACACGTTCGCTGATTCTCTGAGCCGTTGGAACACCCATCCCCAATTCACCCTCATCTTCTATGAGAGAGCATCCCTTCATTACCCCACCTTAACAGAGTATTTCAGCTCCTTTGATTTGTTCCGTTTCGACTGCCAGTGGTAATTTTCTCCTTATTTCGTCTTTCAGGTTTCCACCTGTATGATTTACAGCATCATGTCCAACAAATTCAAGCCTTCGCCTTGTCAGCCGCCGCTAAGCGGAAGTACCAATCCATTTGGAAAACCTAACTCAAATTCTGCCATCTCTTCTGTCTTCCACCATTTACCGCCGCTCCGGCTACCATAGCCGCCTTTGTCACCCTAGTCAGCTTTTCCGTTAAATCTCATCATACCATTAATAATTATCTGAGCGCTTTACGACGGCTCCACGTTTTTTGTCATTTCGACACAAAAGCTTTCGACGACATTCACGTCAGACTGAGTGTTAAAGGCTTGGAAAAGTCTATGGTCTGCATTTCTCATCGCAAAGCTCCACTCACACCATCCGCCCTGCTCCAATTCAGCGCCCATCTCGACCTTCGTCACTCCGCTCACCTATCCTTGTGGTCTGCTTGTCTGGTTGGCTTCTTCACATTCTTTCGCACAGCAAATTTGGTTCCTCCATCACTAGACACCTTCTCCTCACGCAACACACTTTCCAGAAACAGCATCACATTCAAAAATTCCGGTGCCCTTATTACCATTACAAGAACAAAAACTTTCCAAGCCGGTAATACCGCCCTTGTTGTTCCCGACCCGCGTATTCCTGGATCTCCAATTTGCCCCACCTTCGCACTCCACTCCTTACTAAGGACCGTTCCCGCACCCGACACTCATCCTCTCTTCTCCTTCCTTTCCACCTCGCACCAGCTTGCTTGCATCACTTCCAAGAGCCTTAACGACGGTATCAAACATCTGACTGCCCTCATCTCTTTGGACCTTCGGGACTACTCAGGGCATAGTCTGCGTCACAGCGGTGTTGCCTTCGCTTTTCGGTGTGGAATCCCAGCTGAACTCATCAAGTTCCAAGGAGATTGGAGATCGGACGCTTATTTATTGTATTTATCTTTGCCTTTGGCAGACCGCCTTTCGCTCTCGAACATTATCTCCGAGCACGTCGAACTTTTGTAACTAGGTCTAGTTACCAGGCCCATTTTCATATAATCCCTTACTTTAGATTCCTGTCTCACACCTCGTCCTCTCCCCTCGCACCTTTCTTCCTCTCCAGCGGATCTTGCTTGGGCCACTTTGACTTTGCTTGGGGGCTTTCCTAGAGCCCTCAGGGACTCCTCGTTTCCTCATTAAAGATGCCCAAACAGATTCACTGTCTCGTTCGTTGGTGTTGTCGTGCAAGTGAGGTGTGGCGGGGGGATAATTTTCCTTAATGAAAAAAACACAAGACATAGCCAGTTGTTCTCGTGGGCAAAGACAATAAATTTGAAAGAAAAATGAGATGTAAAGGTCTGTATTTTTTGTAGCCTAATACCAGCTGTACCCTCTCTTGAAGTCTTCGTCTGAGTTTTGCAAGGTCCCTCCTTATCCTCTGCCTTGTTCGGTTAGTTTCGACTTCTGAAGCTAGATCATCGGCATCAACCTCTTCGTCCTTATTCATACTTACGGTGGGGGACCTCTTCAATAAACCAATTTTTGTTAGGGCAGATAGTCGGCTGAAGTATCGAGCGATTTGCTGCTCTATCAACCAGTCAGTCAACAAAATTTCTGGCCGGTGTCGTCTCGTACACTCGTTATTCTGGAAGACACATTAGAAGCGGTTGCCTTACTAGTTTCCTCGTCTAGGAGATAATTCTCTGCTTTCTGAGAAAAGGCAACTGCTTTTTGTGTTTTCCAAAGAGCCCATCCAAAGTCTGCCTGCCTAGTTAGGGATTGTTCGTCAGAATTTTGCCTAAGGTCAGACCTTGAACGTACCCACCCCATACGGAATGGCAAGCCTCTGTCCATTTCCTGTTGATCTCATCGTGGGCGGAATTTTTTTGTCAGCTTCACTTTGTGTTGGCCTATGTTAAGGTGCTTTTGGATGGCAGTTAATGACCGAATGTCTTAATACATCCTTCCTCTTAACAAGAATATCTGTGCACGTTGAGATATCTGTGCACGTTGCTGATAACCATCCGCTTCTACGATTAGTTGGCTGAAGGTTTCCAAAGTGATGAGCCTAGTGAGGCTCTGTGGTTACTCCAAACTATGCCAGTTGGTCTACGAGACTGGGCTTATTTGTAGGCCGGGATCCGGAAATTTAAAGTAAGAGGGGAGCGAGATACGGGATTACTAATATGAACGGAACATGGGAATCGGCGATTTTGGAGAGCGTGATTCGGGAAATAATCGCTTAAACGAACCGAGAACGGGGATGTCCGTTGTCGAGAATTTATGAAGAAATTGATCTTCTCAGTCCACGAAAAGCACCAGGCGAACAGGCTCTCTAGCATTCAGGAGGCGGTCGGGCTGTTCAGCGACACTCTTCAGTTATTGTGCGGCAGTGAAAATTACATCTCGATGCATCAGAAGCGAAGTTGCCAATTTACCAAAAATTCTCTACGGCCCACAGGATAACAAAGCATCCAAGACTGCTGCGTCAGTTGAAATGCTCAACGGCCTTAAAAACCTCTAGCATGTCTCAGAATCATACTTATATGACGCTCCTAACCTGTTGAGTTGTATGACACTAGACGTGAAGAATATTCAGTTTATCATTTTGCATCACAAAGATAAACTTTTCACGGTGATAAATTACCCAAGAAACTTTGGAAATGCAGCTAAAGAAGGCTTTAAGAGGACAACCCATTTGGCGGCGCCCTATTTTACTAATCCAAATTCTTGATATCCTGTATTTGAACATGCCATGATCCTGTCGGCCATACCAGCAATAAAACCGTTACTACCTCTACAGATGGAACCACAGATGACACCACAGAGCATACAGAACATTTGTTGCAGCAGTGCGTACGCGCTCTGTCAGACAGGGAACAACGATCGCAAGAGCTGGAACTCCCCCGTTGTACCTCTATCAGAGAGAAATTTAGCCGGGCGAACCGGCCAGCCTCGAACGCTCTGACTTCGTGGAGCAGCAGGAAAATAGCGGGAAACAAGACGAAGAGGAAGATGGAATATTGGATTACAATTCCCCGTGTGATGATGGTAACATTCCATCTTTTGAACAAAAGGCTGATTTTCACCTCGGAAGAGGTTCCCGCTCCATAAGAAGTGTTCGCTTCCACAGCACACTTGTGTTCAGTTAAGTTTTCTTAGTCTCCCCTGTTATGAAACTATAGGACTGCCGTCATCTTTTGTGTTTTATGCACTTGTTGACATTGTTATTCGTTTCTTTGATACCGACCTGTCCGTATTGATACGGTTGTCTGTGATCTAAGTTTAACGGAGGGAAGTCGTTACCTTAAGTGACTATCCTGCATTATTCGTGCAAAAGTTTGAAAACTTCTAAAATGAACGATATCATTATTTTGGTGAAAAGAGATAAACTTACGGAATTAAGCTGAATTAAAATCTTTTGCAGCGTGCAGATATCTTTTTGAGCCAGACCTATACACCTAAACTCGACACAACGCAATGAAACAAGAAAGCTAGTGCTGTGTACCAACTGGCTTGCACGTACACGAGGGAAAGGCCATGACATTTAGCGAAAATAATGGTAAACGCAGACCCACTGGACGAAAAAATGGATTTACGTTGGTAGCAAATCTTTTGCAAAACTGAAGTAAATACCACATTTGTACATATTTGCCTCAGTTTGCCAAAGAAAAAAGATCGATTTTACACCACATTTGTTACCCGTAGCAAAGATGGTAAATGCCACATTTGTTAAAGATTTCCACTCTTGTACAAAAGTATTGTGCAGCTATGAATTTTCGTTTCATTTGCCCATGGGGCAAATGTGGATGTAAATGTATTTATTTGATGCCTGTTTACATACGAGGCAAATTAATGAGCAGATCTCCTTTTTTGCGCCACGTTTGCTTCCGATGTAAAAACATGCAAACTTATGATTACCAGCAAGCTCACAAAACGCTGTAAATGTGCTCAAAAGCGTAATTTTGGAGTGTTTATTTGGATCAGCAAACATGATCAAACTCGTAGAATTGATGAGGTTTGCATAGGCAGGTAATTGCTGGCAAATTCTTGGTATTGAGCAAGTTTGCTCCGTATGGCAAATATGATCAAATTGTTAGTATTGAATAAGTTTGCTCAGATAATAAAATGTTGACAAAATCAAAAGTTTGACCCAGTTTGCTTGGTATGGTAAATGTGAGCAAACTCTTGACCAAAAAAAGCATTGACCAACTTCGCTCTGTATAGCAAACATGATCAAATTCTCAGTACCGAATAAGTTTGCTGAGATAAGCAAATGAGAACAAACATCTAACTTTGCTTATAAGGGAGTGTCAACTTCAGCTTACTGGGGTTAACAGAATATTTAGAACCACTGTTATAAATAGTATAGATCTATATATTAGGTTTTAGAACTAACCAGCCAATTACTTTTTAAATAGTTTATTTGTCTTTGTTCAATTGGACCACAAAAACATAACTTGACTTATAACTTCTGATATAAACAGCATTGATCTTTAAAGTAGGTTTGAGTACTGACCTATAGCTACCAATAACGTTTTTAGATATTCTATTTATCTCATTTTTCAATTTGGTAATAAAAACTGTCATACATAAATTTGACAGCTACACTGTTAAGCACATTAACAGTAGAGTATTGTTTGTTTGAAAATTCTTGGATGATTCACTTATGCACATATTACTTTTTTTCCAATATTTACTCCAAGCTGTATGTAAGAAAGTAAATTGAGTATTTATGCATGCTATCATACCACATTATTTTCATCATTTAAATTTTTAACTGTAACAATAACTATGATGGCATTCTCTGATATTTTCTAAATTACTTTCTACAAGTTCTAAAAAAAATTGAAAAGTGGATAAAAATGTTTGAAAGCTGCACTGAACAGTAACAAAAAAAGAAACCAAATGAGCTTTATGTAAATTTCTGCCACACATTTAAAGCATAAGTGCCTAAACCTCAACTAAATATTTTACAAATGATATTCCTGAAAACCACAAGATGCTCCAGTATTTGCCTTGTTGTAAGGAAACCACCATTTAAGCAAAGAACACTCTAAAGTTTCTAAAACTTGTTTTGACACACTTTTTTTTTTCACCTCAGTGATGGATTGTTGATTGCAATATTCATATCAATACTACATTCTAGATACATGTCTAACATAAGAACAGTGAACAAATGGCCAAACTCAGTGAGTCTTTTACTTTTGAACTTCTGTAAGTCATGCTGTTGCAATACTGGTAAGTAAAACCTTTTCCTTTGTATCTAAAATGTGTAGTAATCAAATTTCATTTATGACAAAGCAAATGCTGGAGCATCTTCTGGTGCCTCTCAAGTAGATGGAGGGCCATCTTTCCTCTCAATCATCATAGAGGCACTCCTCTGTGACCACTTCTCGCACTCTTTCTATCTAATCGGCTAAACAGAGAGTTTAGCTCACTGCTCCTCCACATAAGAGGCCTCCTACATAGCACCTTTTGTTTTGAGGGGGCTTCGTCCTCAGAACTGCTGTTCCCAGCACTGTTGTCCTCAGACATTGAATGTTCTGAGGACATGTAATCTGCAGATGAGAGGCACAAGCGGTATTTCTCTTTTTCCTCTTCCCCAATAGATGTAGATTGGAATAGAGCTTTGCAGCGTTTCAAACGTTTCTGTACCAAACATAAATTTTACATTAGTTATGCAGTACTGGTAGGCGTAAAATTTTTTGAGTTTAGAGTAGGATCGTTTCAAGCTGTGTAATGAAATTATCAAGTAACTAAAAACTTACTGTATTCTTCCTACTCCTAATGCGCTGGTCTTGGAGCACTTCTACTTTTCTGTTGGTGTCTTTGTTTTTTTTATGCCTTTTTTTGGTCTTGAAATGCACCCTCATGGCAGCTGTCATGAACAAAAACAGTTAACATTTTGCAAGTGAATAACCAGCCACTAATAAATATTTAATTTTCTGACAAATTGAGAAAAACAAGTGGTGATCACTGCTTTGCACCATTTTGTTTTTACTCAGAGGTAAAATGCAAAGGCTTTTCACCTCCAAGTTAGCCACTCAGTGTATACAAAGTATTCTTCATTTGTGTGATATATATACTATGGAAGGATATTCATGGCTAGTGAGCAGGTGTTTCCTACTCTCTTTCCAACAGAAAAAAAAAGAGATTTCTGCTAACAGGCTAGATATTCAACATTAAGGAAAACAAGGAGAGAATGTGGCAATTTTACAATCAAATATGTATAATTATATGTAAATTGTTAGCATCACCTGAAAGATAAAAAAAATAAAGAAAGAAAGGAAGGAAGGAAGTACATAAAAAAAAAACAGAATTGAACAATTAATCTTAACTGTAGCTTTCCTTTTATATCCTTTGATGCAGAGTTTATTGCAGATACATTTGAACTACTGAACCCAACTTTGGTCACTTTTGCAGAAAACACTTACCTCTTATGACATTTGATGGTGTGGAAGTGTCAGTACTTCTGACTCCATTTATTATTGCTGCATTAACAGCTCTGTTCATGAGAAAAGCTAAATACAAATCAAAGCTGAATTAGAACTGTGTTGTCATCTTAATTCTCTTTTAAACCCTCTGAGTGGTACATGCCTGTGAAAGTCCACAATATTTGACAAGGAAAGTCAACATTGAACCCTTTTTTATGTGACTACGTCCCTTACATTTTTAAGTAGTCCAGTATTTATGTCAAACTAACTCTACTAAGACTGTTTGTTGTGGAACATACAATGTCTTTATAACCACAATCAAAACATCATTTTGGTCTCTCAATTGACATTAGCTTCCCATTCTGAAAAAAATTAAAAGAAATTAAAACTGACCTTTTGGATAGATCCCATTTAACATCTTTACCATCTTCACTAGTCAGAGTGGAATAGACATCCCTGATGTGGGCCTTGAAAAAATAGTTAGCAAGTTAAAAATTTTCAGACACTTTGCTGAATATTGCTTATTTTTATAAGTAAATTTATGCCTTTAAAACACAAATAAGTCTGAAACAAGATCTGTAAAAATGATAGTACATCTGCAAAATGGAATTAACCCAAATTATGTTTTTCAGAAAAAAAAATTTCCTTTCCAGTGACAAAAGAATTAGTAAAGCCTAGTCCGAGCTCTTTCTCTATCAAGTTTATCAGCCTTCAATACATGCAATGGCCTCACCCAAGAAAGTACATACTATAAGTTTTACACTGTACTGTCAATATTTTGAACCCCTAAAAATTTTGGTGGTTTTTTTGTCCGACACTGTCTTTGTCCAAAATCAAGCACTGTAACTCAGAAATGGCCTCTTGAAGCCTTCTAGATCAAAACTAATATAATCATTTGGGGATTTTCAATGGATTACTATTACATATATTAAAAATGATCAAGAGTAATAACATTGTGTTCACATTTGTTTTGAAAGACATCCATCAACAATAAACACTGTGTAGTCTAACTCCAAACTAAGGATAGTAGTTTTGTAGTGAGAATGGACCCTTGGACTTTGATACGTTTTTCCCTGCGGGGTGGGTACATTTACCCTCTACACGTACATGGGATTGTATACTGGGACTTTGACTTTAATCATCGCTGAAGGAGAAAAAAGCGGGAAAAAATAGAAAAATTAATTATCCTTAAGCTTAATCTATGAAGAGAGGTGACTTACTGAAAGCACCTTCGAAAACCGCGTCCCTTGCTCCGTTGGTCTGTCTTCCCGCCCTTGGCCCTGCAAGTGTCCCTCGAGCCGTTCCTCCAATCTTCTGTTAAAATCCCCTTGTCTAGCGAAAAACGCCTGCAACTGCTCCATAACTTGGCTCCCACTATCGTTGACAGTTTCAACCGGGGTTCTGTAAAGCGGCTCCAGGACCCGAGATACTGTTGGAGTCGACGTTCTTCTTGGCGTCGGTATGACGGCCAGCACCAAAGGGATGGATACTGTGGATTCCAGAGAAGTAGATTCTAGAAAAGTTTCAATCGATCCTTGTAAACTGCCTAATCCATCTAGTACTCTTGGCAGCGACTCGACTGCCGAGTTATCCTCTTGATGTTCTAGGCGACCACGAGCTTGCACGCCGTTTGAAACGATCGGTGTGGTCGAAGTTCTGGTGGAACTAGTGGTAGTACTACGAGTGTTAGAGCTTCTGGTGGAACTAGTGGTAGTAGTACGAGTGGTAGAGCTTCTGGAACGTCTTGCTGGTTTCTCTGCCATGATACGGTGTTTTGATTTACTCGGGATTTGCCTTGCCATGGACTTCGAGACGAAAAGCGAAGAACTATCCCGCCTAAAGTTCAAATGCAATTCATCATCTCGTCGTAGCTGTTTATTAACTGCTTTGAAGATCATTTGATGTTATTACTGGTCCATTCAGTTCTCTGCTTGAATCCCTGCTGTTTCTGTCCAGTCTCTGCTCCTATTTGTTGCAAGCGCATGCACAGTCTTTCTTCTGCTGAGCGGAGAGCCCAAGTTCATCGTTACAGAAAAAAAATTATTGGATTGGTTTTGTATTTCGCTGCACATAAACAGTTAAACGGCTCATGAGTTTCTTTTTCTTGGCGATCAATGTCGTCGACTAAACGAAAATTCTGCGAGCATTGCCAAGACTTCGTCTCTACGAGAACGTATAGGCAGCATTTAGATCTTTACTAAAACAAAGAAAGTGGTCAATGGAACATTCGACAGATTCAAGAAGAGTCTTCAGATGAGGAAAGAAGCGATCCTGCAGATGTTGACGTGTGTGCTGAAGAAGTGAACCAGTTGCACGATGTTTGCATTCAAAGACCAGTCGCAATGGCAAGTTGTGATGGAGGCAGCGTTTCTGAACCAGGTATATCATTGTATGTATAGGCTAACGCTACTTTGATGCACATACTAGTGAGACAGGTTACTGGAATCAAACAGGATTGCCTAACTGTAATTTTCAGAGTCACACCTTGCTTTTTGTAGGGTTACTATAAAAAGGGGGTTTCCCATTTACGACTAGGGCTCAGTCAATAGTAAACAAGGCAATGCATTGTAGCTAAAAGTAGCACAGAATAAATTTTCTTTGCTTCTTATTCTGAATGAAACAGAAAGAAATATTTAAAACTAGCAAACTAATGTGAAATATTGCCACAGTATTATTATAACTAGTAAGGGTGTTAATGCTCTATAGATACACTTCAAAATTTATGCTCACTTAAATTTCAAATTTGAAATACATTATTTAACAATTATCCAGTTAATTTTATAGGTATTTATTTTCATCATATAAGGGCAAACAAAGAATTTTGAGAAACAAACTATGTTTAAAGTGGATTTGATATTTGAGAAAAACAATAATTGTGCAGTCCTCTTGCCTCCACCTGCAAAGAAAATGCAAATTAGTTGGGGTCAAGGGCCAAGTCCCTTTCATAGTGTGCCTTTGTATTTTAGAAGTTGTTCCTGTCCCCTTCTGGGAGGTGTAAGTTAATCAAGGCTTGACTGTATTTTTTGTTTTGTCATGGTCCATTCAGCACTACATGTAGGTATACTGTAACAGCAGCACACCAACTGCTATCAGTTTTGAAGTGGGCATACCTTTTGAAAAAATGTGTTCAGAATAACAGATGCATAACTCTTTTAAACTTATCAGGTTTGGATGGTGTTCCTATCCACAATCTAGAAGAGGAAGATTACCTTTTAGTTCATGGTTTTGATGACAGTGATTCAGAGAATGACTTTATTTATCATAAGAGGATGCCACACGCATTACTCAAAGAAGTGTGGGATTTGCCTGGTGAGGATGTTGTCACAGACTTCCCCCAAAATCAGGGTCAACTACCCTCTGTGGATGTTAACAACACATCTAGAATAAATGGAAGTTTCAAGCATCTTTTTCGTTGGTTGCTGATTTTCCTGTGCCTTTGGTCTTCATTTTCTTCATGATCTGACAATGCATTGAAAAAACTTCATACTTTTTTGAGGGCAATGTTTGATTCCATGGGTACAATCTTTCCAGTTGTTGCAAGTTTTGCTGTGCTGTTCCCAAAGTCAGTCCATTTACTACGCAAGCAACTGGGACTGGACAAAGACAGATTTATTAAATACATTGTGTGCCCGAAGTGTCGCACTTTGTACAATTTTGATGACTGCTATGAACTGGTTTGCGGTCGAAAAGTCACCAAGAAGTGTACTTTTGTTCAGTTTCCAAACCATCAGCAACATTTCTGCCATACCAAGTGTGGTGAACCACTTTTAAAAGAAGTTTCCTTAAAGAGTGGGGGGACTAAGCTTTACCCACACAAAGTGTACTGTTATAACAGCATCATTGACAATCTCTGTCAATTCCTTCAAAGGCCAGGATTTGTCGATAAATGTGAATTATGGCAAAGCAGGGGTATCCCTGATGGATTCCTCGCAGATATATTTGATGGACGTATCTGGAAGGAATGGCAGAACATGGATGGAAAAGCCTTTTTGGCAGCACATAGGAACTATGCATTTATGCTCAATGTTGACTGGTTCCAGCCTTTCAAGCATTCAGTGTATAGTGTTGGAGTGCTCTATATGGTTCTGATGAACCTCCCCAGGGCTAAGAGGTTCAAACCAGAAAATGTTTTCTTAGTTGGTGTGATCCCTGGGCCCCACGAACCAAAACACAACATTAATTCATACTTACAGCCCCTCGTAGCTGAACTGAATGTGCTGTGGAAAGATGGCGTAAGTGTCAAGGCACATGGGTCAACTACAAATGCCAAATTCCATGCTGCTCTTCTTTGTGTTGGCTGTGACATCCCAGCAGTGAGAAAGGTTTGTGGATTTACTGGCCATGGATCAAATATAGGCTGTTCAAAATGCAAGAATTTTTTCCCTGGCTCAGTTGGTACCAAAATTGATTTTTCGGGCTTTGAACCATGCCCTCCAAGGAGTAACAATGAGCACAGACTGCAAGCACAGGAGATCTTGAACCAAACAACTGCTGGTGACTGTGCAAACCTTGAACAGCAGTTTGGAACAAGGTATACAGAATTAATGTTGTTGCCTTATTTTGATTGTGTTCAGTTTCACATTATTGACCCAATGCACAATCTGTTTACTGGGACAGCTAAGCATATTATGAAGAATGTATGGTTAGATCCAGAGAAGTCATTGCTTGACAAGAATAACTTGCAACAGATACATGGACAAGCTTAAAGTTCCCGCTAGTGTGGGAAGAATGCCCAAGAAAATACAGAACAGTTATGGGGGCTTCACAGCCGATCAGTGGAAATCATTTACAGTTCTTTTTTCCATACATGCCTTGTGGAATTCCTTGCCCAGCAGTGACATGGAAGTGTGGCGTAATTTTGTCATGGCTTGTTCTTGCCTGTGCTCTACTGTTCTTACAGAAACAAAAGCATTGCTGGCCCACTCCTACCTTTTGAAGTTTTGCCAGGGTTTTGAACAGTTGTATGACAAACACAGAGTAACTCCAAACATACATCTGCATACCCATGTTGTTGAGTGTGTCTTGGATTATGGACCTGTGTATTCATTTTGGCTGTTCAGCTTTGAGCGCTATAATGGAATTCTTGGCGAGTACGGAACCAATCAACGTGCTGTTGAGATACAGTTAATGCGCAAGTTCTTATTGTTATAATATTGTAATTTTCACGCCCTGTGTTGAATTTCATTTGCACGTGCTGCTAGACTCATTATATATTCAGTTTCGTTTGTACCTTGAAGGCACTTGATAGAGATTAAATGTCTGTTCAGTAACCGCTTGAACGTTTGGATCGCTGTGTTATTACATGGTGGCAGCGGTGGCCGCTTCTGCTTCGTTTTTAACCGTCTACGTTATACAGCATACCCGGTGGTGATACCTCCAATGGACAGTCTGGTGCGGTAGCGCCGCCATCGTCGACCTTTCATCAGATTACTCCGCCGAAGTTCCTTGACTTGAAACATAGTGGAGAAATTGCCGAAAACTGGAAGCTTTGGAAGGAAAAATATAACAATTATTTTGTCATTTCTCGTTTGGATCGGGAAACCCCGGAGTTTCAGTTGGCGATGTTCAAACATACAATCGGAGATGATGCGTTGAAAGTCATCAAAACATTCAACTACGCCGAGGGGGAGAACTCGAGTGATTGGCGCGTTGTAATGGGAAAAATGGAGAAGCATTGCATCGGCGAAGTCAACGAAATTTACGAACGATACTGTTTTAATATGCGAGACAAGCTTCCAACGGAGTCGGTTGATAGTTTTGTTGTCGAGTTGAGGAATCTGGCCAAAACATGTAATTTTTGCGATTGTTTGCGGGATAGTTTAATCCGTGATCGCATTGTGCTTGGAATTAAAAACGAGGAGACGACCAAGAAGTTACTGAGAATGAGAGATCTTACTCTGAATCGTTGCATCGACGTGTGTCGCAGCGAGGAAGTTGCTGAGTTGCAAATGAAGTCGTTATCTGGGCCGGTGGATAACATTAATCAAGTAAAGTCAAGTTCTAAAAAGCAGCTAGCTCCAACGCCGGTGGACGGGTGGTCGGCAAAGAAAATTTCCTGCAATTTTTGTGGCTATGACCATCAACCTGATAGGAAGATGTGCCCCGCATAGGGAAAGAAGTGCAAGCGATGCAAGGAAAAGAATCATTTTGCCAAGAAGTGTAAGAAAGTTCCTGTCCATAATATTGAGAGCGAAGAGGAGTTAGAGGAGATCAGCGTTGTACGAGTACAGGCTTTGAGAGGGAGAGCTGTGTATGCGAGGATGCTGGTTAGGCAGCAACCGGTGCAATTTCAAGTTGATTGCAAGTGCAAATATTTTACCTCTGAGGTATGCTGAGGGTGAGGAACTCGACTTGTGTTCGCAAACGCTTGTCATGTGGAATGGAACTGAAGTGACGCCTGTCGGTTCCTGTGCGTTGCCTGTTGTGAATCCGAAAACTAATGAGAAGTACAAGGTCCGGTTTCTAGTCGTGAAAGAGGATTTGACCCCTCTGCTTGGCTTAAATTCAACGCAGAAAATGAAGCTGTTAACTGTACACAAAGAAAACTTCATTAATGTCGTGGAGAATGCAAATGATGACCTCACAGCTAATTACGCGGATGTCTTTAACAAAGGTCTCGGAACACTTCCAGGAAAAGTTCGCCTGCAAGTTGACCCAGATTGCAAGCCTGTTATCCTTCCAGCAAGAAAAGTCCCCGTGTCTGTTCAGGAGAAGTTCAAAGAA